TTATTTTTAATAAAGTCTTTTTTCATTATTAAAGTCAAAAAACAGAAAAAAGGAATAAAATGATTCCATGGGTCTACCATCTAAACCAAATCACTGTAAATTTACTGCTGACCACTTTGGCTGCTAAGGAATGATATCACTATATTGAAATAATGACCAAGATAGTGCAAAGTCTATGTTCTATATACTATATTCAAAAAGTCAGGATAATGTATAGTTTCTTAAAAAAATACTTTAATAAAGAACTTGAAATATAATGATTGATATGTGAATTTGTTAGATAAATGAAATCACTATCTACCTATGAAATAGGTGTGAAATAATATGAAGGAGGTAAATACCATTTAAACTATTCATTACCTGCTTTGACTAACAAATAGTGATGAAAGCATCAATCTTAAAATTTTTAAAAACAAAGAGCAAAGATTCTTATCAAAGTGGCAATTTTAAGGGTAGAATGATAATGAATATGTAACTGAAAAGAAATACATAAAGTGAAATGACTTTTTATATTACAAAATATTATCATGTTACAAATTGTTATCAAAATCTTTTCTGAGTATATCTAGGCAACACACCTTCAATTTTATAATTTGTGTCAATCAGAAAACCAGCGTCAAAATATAAAATTAAAGTGTATTAGAAACTTTCCAGAATACAGATGTGTCAAGTGAGCTACTGCCCTATGTCATCAATTCATTGGTTGGGGAGGAGAGAAAATGCCAAAGCATTCTAATAACTCTCTTGTTAAAGAAAACCTTGTTATCAATCTCCCATATCAATCTCCATCACCTCTCATATGTGCTCAAAGTGGACAATGAGCTAAAAGTCTCAAAACTGGTTTCACAATTTTTTGGCCTGTCATATCAAATGATTTGGTAACTAATGATCTGTCTTTGGGGCCTCTGCTGAAATTCTGAGATAGCTTAGGAAAAGTCATACTACATATGTATTTTAAATAAATGCCATTGTTAGTTTCATTTTTAGTAAGTGAAGGAAACATTTTACTTTTATATTTAGCATGGTAATAGAATTAAAAAATAACTGATCTCCCCCAAACCAAATCTAATAGTAAAAAGAATTCTAGTAACCTTAACTTAACATTTCATATGGGTATATTTTAGAAGTTCAAAAAGAAAAAAATAACAGAAATAAAAATCACATCTACTATTCCAGAGGTATGAAAGAATGATTTTACATGTGAATGCTATAGACTAGAGATTGGCAATTTTCTTCTATAAAGGACTAGAGAGTAAATATTTTAAGCTTTGCAGGGCATAAGATCTCTCTTGCAACTACTCAACTCTTCCACTATAGCACAAAAGCAGCCATAGACAATATGTAAACAAATGGCTGTGCTCTAATAATGCTTTATTCACAAAAACAGGCTGCTGGCTGCATTTGGTCTGCAAGCCATAGTTTGATGACCCTGCTATAGACCAAAATGGTCTGGCATTATAGTTCACTTATCCCCAGTCTCCTACTAGAATTGATGAAAAGAAGAGTGCTGGTTAACTAAAAAAGACTGTCATAATATATAATAAACCACAATATCTTACTAAT